CCTCCCCCCCCCTCCCTTCCCCCGACCCTCAACTAATTTAAAGTTTTGCTGAGTTATAGTTAGTTCAATGGGAGCTTTTACAACGTCTATCCCTACCAATGTTCTAGCAGCTAAATACATTAAACAGGTAATGAGGTGAATTAACCAATCAAAGAGCATAGGATATCATGAATGGCCTTTCAGTCAATAATATGGGAGATAATGTCGGAAAATTAATTAGTGAGCTTCAAAGCTATAAAATGCGACTTTCTACACTCCCCCCCCCCAATTACTGTCCGCACTTACCTTGACCCTCTTTGCGCTTTGATAGCCCTGTGTCCAATGTGTTTTCCCACAGAGAAACCAAGTCGATTTTTCCCGTCATTTTTGTGGTTTATGATAACCATTCGGAAGTGAAAAAAAATGCCAGTATTCCTAACTACTTCGATTTATTTCTATTTTCGGAAATTCCGCCTACACAAATAAACTCAATGTGAACAAAATGAGCGAAAAAATAGAATGGAGGAAAGATCAAACTGGAAAAATGTAAATTGACACACAAATTTTGACATCATAGACAACATAATCAAAGGTGGAATGATTTCCATAGCAAGAAAGTGGAATTTTGACATAAATTTTAGATAAATAACCCTTGTGAACCTTCTACTTTGAAAGCTTTAAAAAATCTCTACTAATTATGTTGTCATCAAAAAAAACGTTAGGAGGAGGTAATAAATCTACAATTAATGCTTTAATTACATTTTTGATGGATAAAATTAATTTATTTCCTTATTATCTCCATAAGCTTTAGTGACTTACCCTTGAATCGAATTTCATTAATAATATGCTGTTTAATGAAAGTCATAGTAAACCAGGTAGTGATTGAAACATAACGGCAGAGTTTTAAGAAAGAGAAATTCACAATTGTATAACCCACCAGTTAGTGCTTGAATTCAACTCGTGGAACGTAGATCACAGAAAGGGGAAACATTTTCCCATTGAAGGTCAGAAGAAAATGGCTTAAAATATACTGCCTTTAGAGAGCGAGATAGAGAGAGAGTGGAAGAGGGTGGGGGAGACCGTATGCCAACTGCCCTTGCTGCAACTGCACTGCTAATGTAGCTGACTTCCCAATTATCGCTGGGCGTTGACCCAACAAACGAAAGAACGACATGGAATGTCTGCTGGTGCATTATTTTGGTATTGGTCAAGGCAGTCTTAAGCACTGTCAAAAACGCCTGACTATTCGTTGTCTACATTTGGCTTTGGAATAAGACCTATTTCATCAGCAGTAGGTTTAGAGTTGATGACTTCAAGAATGAGTGAATTTCTGCCCGATTCAATGGGGAAGGGTGGGAGGGGGGAGGGACAGAGGGGGGTGGCGGAACAGAAACTGATTCATTATAGCAAAATTTGGTCCTCATTCAACTCTCATAATTAAAAGTAACTTGAATGGGTGGAAATCTATTGTTCCTGGCAGCATATATAAACCGAATTCGAGTCTGCCGGTCTCTATTGGGCTATGACCATCCTGGGAACTAAGCCATTGTAAAAACGCTCAGGAAACCATCTAAGCTAATCAAAGGGTCTGTAAGATCTATACGCCATGAATATGCAATCACACAGAAACTCCTTAATCAAATCTGGGTTTATAGGAATAAGAAAAAATGACCGGACTACATTAATGGACTGCTTCAATCTAACTTCAAAGCTGAAAGAAGTAAAGCAATTTCGGTAACTTAGACGTTTTATATGAGCTTCCTTATAAAGCGAGTGCAGAAAATCAATATAATTAACCTTTTAGATATTTTTAAAATATAGCATTAATTAAATATTTACTCCCTAGATACAAAATTAGTAAAGGCGCCAACTCTTGATCCCATAATCACGCATTATTTAAAATTCAAGTCTTTTGAAGAAGTTCAAAGGAGGTAAAAAGATTTCAAGGACGTATCATTGAATTATATTGCACTGAGTTTGTTTTCCTCAATTCTCCTCCAAATTCAAGCCCGAAATCAAAGTCTAGTTCATGTCTAAGGAAATCAAGAACTAGGGTATGCATGTAGAAAATTCGAGAACATATTGATTTCTATTAAATAAAACCATAAATGAGCCTTATTGAATGGCGGAATTTAAGTGCTTGTATGATGGTTACAGATTAAAACAGAAAATAAGCTAAAAGTACAAGCACGAATAAATTAGTTTATCCTTTAAAAAGTTAAACTTAAATCACCGATACGGGTAACATTGACCTCTGAAGGTTGTAAGGAAAGGTAGCTAATTAGGAATTATCTGTGAAGTCCTCGTCTACTACCAAAAGATAAACATGAAAACACCGCAGTAGATGAGCAGGTTTGAGGGGTGTGCGATAGACTTTCCTCCACGTTGTGCACCTTGGGCAACATATACTCGTAAGGCAAAAAAGTCTAGTAACTGGCAGTTGACTTCTCACTTCAAACTACCATCACCTCACTCTATGCCATATTTGTCCCCTTCACAGAACTCATTTTACCTTTTCTCTGCCTGTGTGTCTATTTATCGGCCTCTTTTACATATTTAATCATTATTCTCTCTCCCTACTCGACTTTTTGCCACTTTGATGTTCCTCCTTCTCTCTGTGAAGCCCGAAGTCAGCTAAAGGACTAATGATAAGTATCAAAACGCTTGCCACTTGAAATTAATAAATAAATTAATGAGCAAGTTTGAACTCAGTAACCAGGTTAAGCGATTGAAATTTTAAGGGAAAATTTAATATTTACATCTAATCCCCAGTTCTACACTGGTTAATATTGTTATTGTAAATATGATAAAATAATTAGACTCAAGGTAACTTTCCTCTCCAGAATAAGCTCTCATTCACTGTCCTTAAATCAAACAGACATTCACAAGAGTACACGCTTCAATGTGGATTGTTAACTTGACACTGTCGATAAATGCCTTTCAGTTAATTAAACATGAAAGCTCCTTCCAATAGTCCTTTGGCTAGATTCCGTGTAATATTTCATTGATAGTTCTATTGGAAGTTATATATACATATGCTTAAACCGGGTGTGCAATAGACTTGCTTCCATGTGTTGCACCCAGGGCAACGTATACTCATACGGCAAAAAAGGCTATTAACCGACAGTTGACTTCTCACTTCAAACTACCATGGCCCGACTGCTTGCCATATTCGACCCCTTTTACAGTACTCACCTTACCTTTTTCTCTACCTTTGAGTCTGTCTGCCTCTTTTACATCTGTGAATCGCTCTTTTGTTCCCCACCCCTCGATTTTCTGCTACTTTAATGAACCTTCTCTCTGTGAAGCCCGTAGTCAGCTAAATGGCTAATTATATCTATCAAAACGCCTGCCAGTTGGTATAAATATATGCTCAAACCACTGGTAAAAGTGATTGCTCTTCAACAGATCACAGGCAACTCCAGTACTAAACAACAGTGCTGTCACCTCTTTGCTCTCTGTAAACGTAAAGTTAAACAGCTTGCAATGATCTAAATTGGAAGGTTAACGGACCCCATCTTCCAGTGCATTCATTGTATTTGGCTATCCGATATGTGTTTTAGCCAGGCCTATTGCTTTAATAATATGAGTAGTAGTAAGTGGACTTACTTGACATTTCCTTCAGCAGAGTAGAGGCCCCAAAGAAGGCTTTGAACTCCGAATGAGGTGGCCTCACGAAGCGATTTTCCATCTATTTCAGTGATTACATCACCAATACTGAATCGGACATCACGATATTTGGGTACTGAATGCAATGTCCTGTAGAGAGCACCATTGGTAGCGATGTCGGTTACGACGAAACCGCAGTTTGCCTCGTCTTTGGAACCCAGGGTTATTCCTAAGGTGTAGCAAAAAGCAAGGTTTTACTATTTATAAGATTTGGATTGTAAAGAAAAAGTGATCTAAAGTATTAAGCCAAAATCATATAAGCGGTTACTGTGAATAAACAAGAAATTGTATTCAGTAATGTGGCATACATTGACCTTTAGGTTTGTTATGTGGCACGAACCTCGTTAGACCAGTATCCCCATCTACTGTTAGTGCCTCAATTGGTTTCCTGACCCAATAGATGCGTCAAGTTTAGTTATTCCAAAAATTTTACGTTCTGTCTAGACAACCTCTCCCCCCCCCCTCCTTCTATTGTGGAACTTATTGAAGCTAAAAGATTTGATAACTGGGCTAGCTTCACATTTTGAGAAACCTAGCCTACTTTTAAACAACCTTATTTTCCCTCACACTCCTTATCCAGGTTCAAAAGGAATTCTAATAGCCAGTACACACACACACAAAGAAGTTAGATTTCACCTAGATATGTTCTGAACTCACGTAAGTCTTGCAGGAAACCATTAAACCTAATGTAATAAAGTCTGTATTTTGCAGACACCATAAAACTGCATGATTGAAACCTAAATTTAATTGAAAGGCACTGAAACTATGCACACGCATCAATTAATGCAATTATTATTTTAAGTAGCAACAGCAAATCTTTACCAATTAAAACGGACTTTGTCTGACTTCAGTCTAAATTATAGGAAAGTCAATTTGTTTTTAAATCATTTCCTGACAAAATATCTATTTTAATGATATTTTATCATTTTAAAAAAAACCATTTAAACCTCTTATTCACATTGGCGGAATTACTGTTAATAGCTAACCTTTCAACTAAGTATTACTTGTGTTCTTACCAATAAGTTCGCCTTTTATCTTGGAAACAACAATCTCCGTGGAATCATCAGCGTAGTTTGGCAAATAATCAGAAGAATTGTGAGGTTTGCAGGGGGAATTTCCTCTCACCCCCGACATTTCGCGTCCATTACGCGGTTGCACTACCACCTGGGCAAGGAAAAGCAGTGAAGTAAATGTCAGCTGAAAGTGTAGCTAAGTAGATACTTTGTGGCAGCATTAAAAATCTCTGCTTCCTTTGATTTACGATCATGTGTGTGTGGGGGGGATGGGGAGGTTGGGGGTGGAAGCTGGGGTTGGGGTGGGCTTATGTTCTCTAGGGAGGTTGATGATATCCTTTAAGTGATTATTGACTTTCATCTTGCCTTTTCTTTCTGACGCTCTGAAAATATGACTCATTCTTCTTCCTGATATTGATTTTAGTCAGCTGTTCGTTTATCGCTCCATTCCAACAATGATTCATTTTTAGGTCTATGAAGCCTCTAAACTACCAAATATAGAAGGCTATTATAACACCGACTCAACTTATTCTGCCTTATTTGCTCGATATCGCAGTTCCAATATAAGTTTTCCTTCTTGCAATTTTTTTCTAAATTTTTTAATGTTCGCTTTGGATAAGAAACTAAATGTCAAGCAGGGGAAAATTAAAAATTATCTTTTTTCTTGAAGCGTTAAGCGTCGTTATCTTGAATATGCCTTAAGGGCCCGAAAAATTTAATCTTCCCATTGGTGAATAGCGATAAGTGAGAACAATTGTCCTATTTTTCATAAATAGAAAGTTAATTTTACTTTAACCATCATGATCACGTGTTCCAAGTTCTGATTTTAAGTTTTCTGAAGCCTGAGGAAAGTTGTACCTGAAGTTGGCCAATGTCTACACCTTAGAAATAGACTATGACTTTTAATTGATCATCCATTCTTACTTACCACCAAAGAACCATTGCAGTTCTCACAATTTCTTTGAAGAAATATTGTGACACAGAACCTGCCCCCTATCCAGTGTCTCAAGAGATGTGCTCGTCTTATGGACCCGACAATGCGGGGAACACGAAGACTGCTAAGCCATTAGAACAATATAGCTACTTATTATTCAAGATGCTCAATCGTGAAAAAAACGTCCCAATTGTGACAATTGCTCACCATATCCGGTAGGGATTCTAATCTGGGAGATTCCAGGAGAAATTCCCTTGGAGATATCTTAAATTTTTGTCCAATATTGGAGATTTTACTTTCCGGAGTAATCACTGTTTCCCCACGTGACTCAGAAGACAGAGAGTCGATTTGAGTATTTTCTCCATTGGACGCCTCATAAATGGTGCCCATTTTGTCGGAGTTAAAACTCGAAGCCTTGTGGGACTTAGGGTGAAGCGGTCGACTGCAGATGAGGTAACCGAAGGTTCTTGGCTGTCGGAGGGTATCCGTGAAGTAATAGCTGTCCTTACCCATCACCACTACTCCACTTACCTGCAAAATAAAGAAAAGCATAAACAGCCATCATGGGGTGGTTGGGGGCGAGAGAAGTGTCCTTCAACTTTTCACAGGGTTAAATTTAAGGCAGATTCCTTCAACTATTCAAGTAATTATCTCCAAACAAAGAACTTTACTTGCGGAAGCCGCCCTAGAATTTTACGCATAAGTGTTTAGCTCCTAATTCACTACTCCAACTGAACTTTGAGTCAGAATATCTTCCGAATTTATTTAATTATAACTAACATTTGTGGCAAAGGGTTTTGAGATTTGTCTACAATAAATTGAAATTTTCTATTCAATACCAACCTTGAATGATTTTATCTTGCCCCAAGTATGCTACTCAAATATTTCCTTTAAAGTTAATTGCATAATGAATTAATTCCTTGCTTACAGTTCACATTCTCCAGGACGTTCTTTCTAGAATTTTTCATTTAATTCTTTTTTTTCATTTCAAGAAGTTTCAATTATGAAATAAGATGTTTGAATCTTAGGTGCGCAATAGACTTACCTCCCTGTGGTGCAACCTGGGCAACGTATACTTATACGGCAAAAAAGTCTATTTATCGGCAGTTGACTTCTGACTTCAAACTTCTATGGCCCGACTATTTATCATATTCGACCCCTTTCACAGTACTGATTTGACCTTTTTAATGCCTTTGTGTCTGTCTGTCTGTCTTTCTCTTTTACCTCTGTGAATCATTATTCTGTCTCCCATCTCGACTTTTTGTCTGTTTATGTTCCTTCTCCTCTCTGTGAAGCCCGAAGTCAGCTCCAGGGGTAATGATAACTATCAAAGCGCCTGCCATTTGATATAATAATAATATATAATATAATAAATATATGTTTGAATCCTCAGGGTATTGAGGTTTTCACTTACATTAGATAAAGCTTACCTTTTCTGGAGTTTATATTTTATAAGTATTTTTTTATGAGGGCGTTCATGTCCATTATAGTTGTATCAATTTTTTTAAATATATCTTGATTTAAATAAATAAAAAATATAATAAAGTTAATTGGACCGAAGTGTTTGCCATCGTCATTCGGGCAAAAGAAGATGTCCTATTGTTGAGAAATCTCATTTACAATCCATTAAAATGTCAGATAAAAGACTAGACAAAAAAATCAAATGCCGTGTTTAGATCTTTTATTGGCAGGTTAATGTATACTTATTATTCATCCTAATTGCTCCAATCGATATTGTGATTGGTCCCTTCATTACAGTGAATGTTGTAATGCGTTTTTTTTGAAAATGTCCTGTTAAATGCATGCCAGCAAATGTCAGTAATTTTTGAAAATCTGCCTCTATAGTCGCATTTTCACGATTTAATTATTGGGGTGCGCGATAGACTTACCTCCAATTGGTGCATCCTGGACAACGTATCTTCGTACGGCAAAAAAGTCTATAACTCGGCATTTGATTTGACTTCGATTTATTATGATTAGCTTGAAAAAGGCTATAAGAGAAATTGCCCTCGTCAGGGCGAATCGCAACGTCTACAGATCCTCCATTGGAATGCTGGAGGGATGTCACAGGACAAAAAGATCCAAATCCAGAAAATCCTACAAACCTATGATGTAGACATTTTCACAATTATGGAAACAAACATTTCGGATGACAAACTGAAGTACTACCAATTCCCAGGTTATACCCTGTACCTGCGACCTAAATACCGGCAAGTTGCAAGTGGAATTCTAACTGGAGTAAAAGAAGGCCTCACCTCACACTACGATCTAATCAAGAGTATGGGCTCGACACAAGACATATGTGAAATAATCAGCTAAAATGTTTGAGAATGTCAAAACCACCTCAAGATATATGCTGTCTATAATCCACCCCAGAATTGTCCCAAATTTGACTTTCTGAACACCTCACACAAAACTGTAGTAGTAGGAGACTTCAACGCCCATTCCACCAGATGGGGCTACGAGGATACAAACATTGCTGGAAAGGAAATCGAAGACATGCTAAACAGCAACCCTCTGGAACTTATCTACAGCAATGAGGATCCGGCTACATATTTGCACTACAATGGAACCAGAACAACTCCTGACTTACTCCTGGCTTCAAGCGACATCAGTGAGCATACACGCCGCAAAATAATTGACGATTCTGGTTCTGGTCACAAACCGGTCATTGCTAGTATTAACATCGGCAACAAAAGCATGTCAAGGAAAGTGCCAACTAAGCTATCATGGAACTTCAAGAAGGCTGACTAGTCTAGATTCACAAACATTTTAGAGAATGAACTTCAAACAAGTCCCCACAACTTTAACCAACATCCTCACAAACTTTGCAATGATATCACAAATATTATGATCAGATGTGCAAAGAAAACTATTCCCAGAGGTGAGACTAAACACTATCGTGTGTTTTGGACTAAACAACTTGAGGAACTGAAAAGAAAGAGGGACGCTCTTCGCAACACTGCTGATCAGACTGGAAGAACGGAAGACGTAAAAGCCTGGAGACGACAATCAGATGTCCTAAGGTAAGCCATCTTACAAGCTAAACGGACTTCCTTCGACAAGTTCATCTCAAATATCAACTATCAAAGTAATAGCCAAAGCACTTTTAAATTCCTAGGTAACCTCCAAAACAACAGCGAAAGACCAAAGAAAGAATCAATACGCTTAAACAACAAACTGCTTACCACCGACTCCAAAATAGCTAACTGCTTTGCTAGGTTCTATTCCCACAAGCAAAAAAACCCTTTTGTCAGATAATCTTCAAGTGATTTAAAGATACAAGTAAGACAATTTGGTGAAATTAAGGAAGACATAGCAACACCAAATANAAACAACTAGCAAACTGGTGAGACAACAATGGAATGGTAATCAACACCACGAAAACTGCATTCCAAACTTTTTCTTTGGCCCATCACAGCATAAACCCACTTCTAAGGTACAAGGATACTACCCTAGAAAAAAACCAATGAGTTCACATATCTCGGAATGACGTTTGACACAAATCTAACGTGGAAAAGTCACATTGCTAAAATAGCAGAACGTGTCTCCAATAGACTGAATGTCCTGAAGCGTCTTGCTGGTAGTGTATGGGGCTGTGCGCGCTCAACTTTAAACACCACTTACAAGATGTTTATTCAGCCAATAATGTTGTATTGCTGTGAGCCACTCATTACAGCCACAGAGGTGACTCTCAAACCACTCGAGAAGGCACACAACCAAGCACCACGACTAATTACTGGAGGGATAAAATCAACAACTATTGATGCAATGTTCCTAGTTACAGGAAGCACTAAAATATGTTCCCTAATCAAAGAAAAGGCCTTGATCCTGTATGAGAAGCTACTGCGCATTCCCATGGATAAGTTCTTCAGCACCTATGAGAATAGACCGAAACATCTGAAAACGCAATCTGGTCTAATGCAGAAAGCCATAGAACTGAAGAAAGAATTACAAATCGATGACAAACCAAAAAGCCTCTCTCTACCCATGAACCCATTGGCTGACACTGATGTAGTGTGTTGCACTCAACTGCTTGACTTCTTCAGGAAATCAAACACCCCTACAGAACAGATGCGCTCACTGGCCCTTGAGACAATCAACGTCAACTATCCTGGAGATCAATGCCTCCAAGTCTTCACTGATGGGTCATACATAGAAAACCAAGCAAACGTTGGTGCAGGTGTCTATTCCGAACTCTTCTCTTTCTGCACAGCCGCAGGACACAATAGATCCGTTTTTGAAGGAGAAATAGAGGCCATTAGGATAGCACTAAGCCAATTATGTTGCCTGAATACGAAACTCACCAAAGCGGTGATACTTTCGGACTCACAGTCAACAATAAACTCAATCGGAAGCAGTGAGCAACCCAAAACAGATGAGATAAACGAATGTAGAAAACTCTATCAGCTGCTGAGAGAGAAAAACAAAACAGTGGTCCTACAATGGATTCCTGGTCACTGTGGCATTAAAGACAATGAGCTTGCTGACACACTTGCTAAGAAGGGGACAACGATTTTGCAATGCATGGACTGGCCGATGTCTTTCCACACAATGAAGGCCTTAATCAGAAGAGAATTCCAGACCTCAAGGTGCAACGAACTGAAAGCTCGAACAAAGGAGAAACAGTGGACAGTGCCACTCTCCGACATACCCGACTGGCCAAGAATCGAAGCCGTTGCTGAGTTAAGACTACGTACCGGACACGATTGCCTGGAAAAACACCTTCACAGATTGGGAGTATGCACTCAACCCACATGCCCCCTATATAACCTACAAGAGGAAATGGAGAAGACCCACTTGATTCGGTGTCCAGCCCTAAAGACAACGACGGAAAGCCAGAGATACTGGGATGCAAGAAGACAGCTAATGAAATGCTATTTATTGACTGCTTTATATGTACCCTCTACCCTTGGGGGAAGCTGAAGTCAAAGTTTAAGGGCTAATGGTAAATATCATAAAGCCTGCCATTTGAAATAAATTAATTAATTAATAGTAAAAGATATATTACTGGCGTTCACCGCTGCTAATAAATAGCATATGTAAATTAAAATATATTTATTCGAAGAGGGGAGAGAGAGATTGATATAGTAATGAATTTATCCCCTCGTAACTGGAGTCCTATTAACCTGACTTCATGTATGTCTGTCTAAATGCCGACCTATTCATTAATACCTTCGAGAGGCCAATCTGATTGGAATTTAAACTCGTGTCGCCTCGTCTGAATGTCAAGCGGCTCACAACGTCACAGACTACCTCTGATTAGTAAAGTATCCAATATTTGAATTGCAAGCGGCATCCAGGGTGATTCTTGCTTTATTTCATTCTAATACACACCTAACTCTCTCTCTCTCTCTCTCTATATATATATATATATATATCACAAGCACTCATGTGATTCATATGCATTATAATTATTGCAACTGCTCACAAATGCTAGTTTTGCCGAGGCGCTCGCTACCAGCTATTCTCACGAGCGCTCGCCGAAGACCCGGGTTTTTTAATTTTACCTACTGACTTCATTTTTATTGGCCGAAATTGTAGTAGGAGTATATGATTTATGTTTTTGAAATGAATTATTGAATTGCAATCGGTCGGCATGAATTTTTAAAAATTTCCCTCAAATTTAAGTAAATTTACTTGTATGTTTCATAGTTGGCAGAACATTTACGGATTTTAACATTTCACGTAATTTTTTCTTTAAGGATAAAATGAGTTGATTCAAAGTGCTGAATATACCAAGGGAGTTGGTGGGAGGGAGGAATATTTAATTTACTACATCTAATTACCTCAATAATTTCATCTTCTTCTTTAAGGTCAGTTTGTTTGGCGATCACACCGTCCTCCTTTAAGCCGACGATACGATGTCTGAAGTCCAACTGATCGCCCTTCATATCAACGCTTGCCACCGTTTCAACAGATATTCCAAGAGGTGTGTTCTCCGCTGGAAGTTGGTATTCCCCTATCTATATTTTTTAAAAGATACAAACGCTAAACAGAATGTTCAAACAACGTTACCTTATAATGTAATTAGTTACCGCTCTATAGATCAGCTTTTTTATTGCTTAACTCCGTTTAAACTAAAAAAGGGAGGGGGTGGGGGGGGAGGGGTTGCCACGTTCACTATGGATTTATTTCAGAAAAAACAGCAATTAATGTGAAAATTTTGTTTAAATATTCATCGTTAAATAATCAAGATTCTGATTGATTTAGTTGAAATTTAATTTAATTTTCAATTTGTTTGAAATATTTGACGCGAAATTATTACCTACCACACTGCTCTAAGCTGCCTAACTACGTAAGAACATCTTCTGCCTTATCAGCCATAATGAGGTGATAGGATCCACTCTCTTCTTGAATAGTAAAAAAATACGAACTTTTAATGCACTGAATATTGCTGAAAAGCGTTTTCTACAAACCAGAAGGAAAATGGCCAAATTTGGGTTTCGTAAAGTGAATTACTAATTTAGTACTTCATTCAAAGCTCAAATTCAAAAATGTAATAAAGTGTGCAACTTTCAAATGACTCTCCCAATTTAAACTTATAGTCTTAATTTATTTTATTGGGTGTAATAATTATTAAAAAATTCCAATCTTTTAGGAGATAGACGAAGTGAAATACCCTTTATTTCTCAAATACAAATTTTGAGAAAATTATTATTATTTTCATGTCTACATTCTTATGTGCAAGCCGTTTTCGTGTGTGGTCTACAAATTCCTGCGACAAATGGATGTCTAGACACGCAATTTTCAACCTGATAAAAATTCTATTGAGTTAAATCACTCAATGTACTTTATATCTTATTATGTAAGGGGTGTGCGATAGACTTACCTCCACGTGGTGCAACCTGACCAACACATTCTCATACGGCCAAAAAAGTCTATTGATCGGCAGTTGACTTCTGACTTCAAACTACTATGGCCCGACTGTTTGTCATATTCGACCCCTTCCAAAGTACTTATATTGCCTTTTCTCTGCCATTGTGTCTGTCTGTCCCTTTTACATTTGTGAGTCACTCTTCTTTTCCCTCTCCCCACTTTTTGTCACTTTGGTGTTCCTCCTCCTCACTGTGTAGCCCCGAAGTCAGCTAAAGGGCTAATGATAACGATCAAAACGCCTGCCATTTGATATAAATAAATATCTTATTATGTCAGTAGTAGAAGCGTCCTCTTCTCCTCCATCCCTCTCCTTCCCTCCTTCCTCACCCCCAATAAAACAATATTGATTTTCCATATGTGTGTAGTGGTCATGACGAGTGTAATCGATTGATTTTAGCCCAAAACTACGATGTTATGTTAGCCATAAACACCATTCGGAGTACAATATTAGCGTCATCTGATAGGAAGTTCACATTCTCAAAAAGGTGGCGGTTCAATATAAGATATAATTAAATTTACTATTATTTCACTGTCGTCGTCCAGTGTGTTCCTCCAGTGATTAATTAGAAGTCTGCGTTTTTCGTCGCTTAGAATTGGATTTGAGGAGATCTTTTCTGAAATGATGATGGTGTCAATAAGAGTATAATTATAATAAAATCACTAAGAGAAGGCAAATGTATGCACAATTAGATTACCAGATTTGAAACTTGCGCTCTGTGCAGGATATGCAAGATAGTCTCCGTTTGATTTCGATGACTGCAAAGGTTCATAGTCGTCATCGATATCTTTATGTAAAAATATTAAACCATTTTCAATATATTTAGAAATAAGTGGGAAAAAGATAACACTAGTTTATAATTATATATATATTTTTATTTATTTATTTAAAATTTCCTTTAAAAATTATTCATTATTTAATTTTTTGTGTACTAACTGATATTTTTATTCCAAACTTTCCAATTTGTTCATTCTATATTTAAATCAAGGGGTGTGCGATAGACTTACCTCCACGTGGTGCACCCTGGGCAACGTATACTCATACGGCAAAAAAGTCTATTACCTGGCAGCTGACTTCTGATTTCAAGCTACCATGACTCCGCTGTATGTCATATTTGACTACTTTCACAGTACTCACCTCACCCTTTTTCTACCTTTTCTACCCTCGTCTTTGAAACACTCTTCTGTCCCACCCCCTCTCTCGACTTTTTCACTTTGATGTTCCTTCCCCTCTGTGAAGCCTGAAGTCAACTAAAGGGCTGATGATAACTATCAAAACGCTTGCCATTTGATATAAATAAATATTTAAATCAATCGTTTTACATACCGGAGTTTATATATGAGTTTTCCATTTCATCCATTTGCTGGTTTTGAACTCCTAAACCCAAATATGATACGTGATGTATTGATTTTTCCTTTTATCTCATTAACTCAAAACAATTAATAAATACAATTTTAAACAAAGATTGTGCTGCTGGTTGCAAGAATCTATCTTTAAATTAATGTTTTTAACGAACCCGGTTTGGAGAAAATATGTTCTACAGTTTCCGCGAGTTCAGCGTCTGTTTTTCCTAAATAATGAAAGTTGCCACTTATCTGCCATTTTTTTGGTCAAAGTAAAATAAATTACAAAGCACTTCCATGTCAAAATATCGATATCAGAGAGTTATTTGTTATTTCAAAATGATAAATAAAATTGCACACATTTCTATTCATTTGCAATTCTGTTTTTACCCTTCTGTTTGAACCTCATTAGGTTTCAGAACGAAATTATTAATTTAAAACCTTTAGAATTAATAGCAAATATAGTTTAATCGATTTTCCATTAGGTTTTCTACTCCGAAAAATTTATGCATTTTCTCTCTAACTTTTCCTCCTCCAAGACCGATTGGAGAGGCATTTCCAGACGTGTTCGTTTTCATCTATCTTCCTCTGCCCTTTAAGGGGTGTGCGATAGACTTACCTCCACGTGGTGCACCCTGGGCAACGTATACTCATACGGCAAAAAAGTCTATTAATCGGCAGTTGGCTTCTCACTTCAAACAACCATCACCCCCACTGTATGTCATATTTGATCCCTACCACTACTAATCTTACCCTTTCTGAGCCTTTGTGTCTGTTTCTTTTACATCTTTGAAACACCCTTCTATTCCCCCTCATGAATTCTTCTCACTTTGATGTTCCTCCTCCCCTCTGTGAAGCTCGAAGTCAACCAAAGGGCTAATGATAACTATCAAAACGCCTGCCATTTGTTATAAGTAAATCCTCTGCCTTTAAGCGATGATAATTAAGCAAAGAACATGATCTTCCAGACCTTTGAATGCTCAACTAACCCGAGATCGGCGCCCATAGGCCCGCAAATAGCTACAGCCAACTCAACCGCGTTTTCCAAATTTATGAAAGGTGAAAATGATTATTGTGAATTCCACTTAAAATTTAAATTAGACCACGAAGTCAAGGAAACAAATAGATCAGTAGTAATTTAATTGGTTTTGAAAAAGTACATAATTTTCCATACCTTCTGAGTCACTTGATTTCGTGGGCTCTGGAGTGACCAGCATCTTCGATATTGTATCTATTTAAAAGATGGGAATATTTTTGGCATCTAAATGGCATAAAATCTCGTTTTTACAGAAAATCCAAAGTTATAATAATACACTTCCCTATGCTAGCATTTATCGCTTAACTTGTTTCTACATAAACGTAGTGGTCAAATCAAAAGTAAGCCTAGTATTCTTCTATCACCAAGTTCAAAAATGGTGCACTTTAAAGCAAATAGTTTTAAAAAAATCGCTACAGATGACATCAATCATAATGATGAAAGCTTCAGAAAAAATCCAGAGGTTTGTGGAAATTAACTCAAATTGTCAAATGTGTTTTACCTTCTTCATCAGCTTTGCTAATGACCTTTGTGTCAAATGGCTCTTCTAAATTGAAAACAAAAAATGAAACATTTTATCTTCCAAATTTAGGATAAAATGTTTGAGGTTAAAATTTTAATTCACCAGATACAACTTCTTCAATAACCACCCCACGTTCGATTCCATTGTTCCTTTGTGCTGTGTACGCAAAAATAAATAAACTTCCAGTATATTCGTATTGAAGTCTCAAATTTTTTTACAAATTTAGTACGAATTCATGTTGAAATATATTTTAATTAGGAAAGTATTAGTCAAATTTAATTCAGTTGTCAAAACTTTTCAGTACTATTGCCAGTACAGTTTTTTCATTCATATGAAATAGTAACAAAGTACCATGAAAATTTAACTCATTCAATTAAAAGGATATTCGTTAAAAGCAGTTGAACTAGTAATTTAAATATATTTTTTTATTAAATTTAGAGATAGTTGAGAGTAGAGTTACCTTCACCGCCGACTTCATCAATGACTACACTTTCAGAGGCCTCACCTAGACAAAAATACGGTATCAAGAGTTCGTTTGCAGAAAAATGCATTTTTTTAAAAATAGCAAATAAGTTACCGGGAACAGCTTCTTCAATTACCACTCTGCGCTCAATTCCATTTGTTCCTCGTGCTGGAAAATAAATTGCAAAAAGAAGTTCAATATTTTTTTCGGAAATAAAATTAGGCGCAGTAGTCTGATTGGATATTGGGCTCAAATATTTATAAATATTTAATTCTCTTGCTGTATTTAGCTACGGTGGGCAAGAAATATTTGCAAATTACTAAAACTTCCAACCCCAATTACGTATAAGATTTGGAAATTCTTCCAGACGCCTTGTTAGCACCAAAATTGTTAACTAACTTGCGTATTTTTACACTTTGACTTACACAGAATAGTCATTAAGGGCAAAGTTTTTTAGGGTTAGAGGGAAATGTGTGGAGCACTAAGTTTTCATGACAGGGGTGTACGATAGACTTACCTCCACGTGGTGCACCCTGGGCAACGTATACTCATAAGGCAAAAAAGTCTCTAAAAAGGCAGTTGACATCTGACTTCAAACTACCATCACCCCACTGTATGCCATATTTCAACACTTTCACAGTACTAACCTTTACTTTTTCTCTACCTTTGTGTCTGTCTATCTCTTTTGTATTTGTGAATCGCTCTTCTGTTCCCCACACCTCGACTTTCTGGTACTTTGATGAGCCTTCCCTCTGTGAAGCCCGAAGTTAGCTAAATGGCTAATGATAGTTATCAAAACGCCTGCCAATTGAAATAAATAAATAAATAAGTTGTCATGACCTGTTCCACAGTGTTCATCAAGCGCATGTCAGGTGAGTTCCAGGCATCACTAACCTCTTGATGTTAG